TGTAATATGTGCATGTCTACATTTAAACACTTTATCCTTAACAACTATTCAAAACACAACTTGTCCCTCTGAGTGAGTTCCTGCACCTCATCTCAAACATCTCCTAAATGATTCTACTTAGCCAAAAAGTCATTCCTTCCCTCCGGTATCAATGGCTGTGAGTTTTTCATTAAATCCAGCATTTTACTGTTTCATCTCCAGTTTATGCTCTGCATCCTAATGATCAGCAATACAGCAACATACTCCTGTAATGCATTCTTACCCACTTGAAAACATAACCTTCAGAAAGGTTGCATAACATTATATGCAACACATTTTATTAAGGTATTGAAGTCTTTAGTGGTTTCGCTTTCAAAATGCTTCGAAGCTTCAAGGTCCCAATTAATCATTCATTAAAGCAGCGTGAATGCTCACAAGTCACACAGCTTGATCGTGTAGCCTGAGGTGGTGAGGACCCCTACTAAAGATCATAAAGCCAATCTTTTGGCAAGAAATCTGTTTTATAAAAGCTCTGTTTGGCTTGTAAGACATGCATGAATCCTGGCACATACTGTGTTCTCTGGATATTTGCTGTATGTACAATCAATATGTAGAAAGTCTGGCACGATTTTCTATGCAAGGACATAGAGGTCATATATATATATATATAATATGTGAGATATGTCCAGGCTGTGTTATCCACAGTAGCTGTAGGCCTTTGGATGTGTTGAACTGAATTAATTGTGTTGCTAACACTCCAGATGTTGTGAGCAGCAGAAAGATTTTTAAGTGTAGTGTACTTTAGACTAAATATTTGTCAACAGTTAATTGTTTTTAGTCCTTTGTAGTGTTTCTACCACACATTAGATTATAACAAATATAACACTCCTTATGCCTGTACAGTAAATATGAAGCTATTATCTTTGGAAAGAGCCAGGGTAGTTTGTGTTTCCAGCCTTCAAGCTAAGCTAGGCTAACCAGCTGCTAGCTATAGTTTTCCTTTAATGCATGTGTGTGCATTGAATGTGCAGACATGAGAGTGGCAGTAATCTACTCTAACTCTTAGCAAGAGAGAAAATAAGCCTTTTTCCAAGAATGTAAACACAGGACTACTCCTGCTCTATAATAGTTAAGATGGCTTAAACACAAATAAAATGTACCAACAGGCATTGAGTTAACTTTAGCCTATTATTCTTGAGGCACTGTAAGCTTTAGTAGAACCATATCAAAAACCCTTTTAATATCCCCGACAAAGAAAAATCGATGAAACTAGACATTTCACAGATTATAGGGTGAAGGTCGACATGTACTTCATTACGGCTTTGTTTGGGCCCTCAGGCTGTCACTTTAGTCCCTTAACATGCTGACTATTTCCTGTAGCACTGACGAGGCTATGTTTTTATTCCACTTAAACGAGGACAGAGGGACTGTTTTTATCTCCTGTGTAGCACAGCAGTCAATTAGAGGACTCCACAGGTGACCCCTAGACGACTTGGCCCTGGAGAAAAATAGTTTTTATGTGCGCAACTGGGGGAGGGGGCATGTGAGCTGGTGGTTACAGCAGGACGAGGTCTTCAGACTGGACTGAGGGTCAGCTGCAGCTGTCATGTTGAGTTTCCCTGTTTAGAAAATTGTAGACCTGATTTAAAAACGCCTGGTACGTGTGAATACGCCCACACTAGAGTCACTAGTGATCATCTTTCCTCCTTCTCTCACTTCAACAATGGACTCTCTGCTTTGTCTGGTGTGGCGTCAGACTGTTCCCTCTGTGGAGCTGTGTTTTGTGGAGCGCCGTGTTTGACTGTGGTCCTCTGGTGGCGGAGGTGTTCCCCGAATTAAACATTTACTCAGTGTCTTGTTTAAGTCCTTCATGGTCTGCTACTGTGACTACATTGACTGTGAAATATGTGTTTATACAGCACTTCTCAAAAGAGATTTTACAAACAATAAAACCAGATTATGAAACGAGACGTATACACAAATGATTTAGGGTTTCTCATAATAACGTGCCTGCTGTTGCAGATTTAATGAAACAGCATTTTAATGTTTCTGATAAACCAGTCTACATGAGAACCAACTGTACATCACATGAAGCACTTAAGGAATGATTTGACAAAGATCAGAGACCTACTTAGGATTTTATTGTTATGTTCGATCATGAATGAATAACTTGGGTAACCTTTTAGTAGACTTGAGCAGTATAAAGGTATTACAGTATACCAGGACATTTAAAATTCCCAAGGTGATGTTATTCAATACTTTTTAAAAATGCAAACACTCCTCTTAAACGTATACAGTCACGGTTCTTACCAGCATATTTCAAGCCCAGCAGGACAAAGTTAGCTCCCTGCCGGGCTTAAGCATCAGGGATTTCAAAACAAGTACAGATAAATACTATAATATACCGTATACCCAGGTGAAATGTCAGGAAGGTGTGAGAAAATAGACCTTACAAGCCTTCTTTTTTGGTAGCAATACTCATGATGGACACAATTGTATGACTTGAGGTTATGGACTTTTGGCCCAGAAGTCTCAGACCTCTCTCTAAAGACTCTTTAAGTCCAGGAGCTGTGATCCTTTCACTCTGCGCTCTGGAAGCGGGTGAGAAGAGAATTTTCCCTCAGGGATCAGTGAAGTACCACATATTTCTATCTCAATTCTTTCTGAGATTTTGCAAAACCCTGAGCTCTCTTTTCCTGACAAATGTCCATTGTCACTTTAGGTACTGGAACCATATCTTTGAGGGTCTTACTCAGACCTGATTAAAAACAAATTATTGTCTATATTCACATGTGTTGTGGTTTGATAATAGGATAAAGCATAACCGTATGTGACCTCAACTGTTCCAGATGGGGATCTTGGTTGGGAGGAGGGAGCCGTAACGTGCCGCAGGTTATAAGAAAACCTCGCCCCCCCCCCCCCCCCCCCCCCCCCCCCACCCCCACCCCCCCGCGATGGGGAGCACAGTCGTGTTCATGCTGAGGGAATGTGCTACTCCGGCCTGCAAGCTGTTTACATTTAATGCTCCCATTAACAATTGGTTTAACCGTAGAAGGAAATGTGCGGCCATTAACCCCTATGAAATGACTCTGATTATGTGGCATAGTCAAAGTTAAAAGAGGAGAGAGAACCCAGACCTAGTCGTTTGTGGCGTAGAGGTTTCTCAGGGACCACCAGAGGCTTCAGTGTTGGTGGCCTCATCGCCTATTTCTGAGGCATGTTGCCATTGTTGTGATGTAAATAAGCCTTGTGGAACTTAACAGGGACGTGGGAAGCTGTTGCCTGTTGTTTGAGTGGATCTGATGTTATCCTCCTATCAAATAAATAGGAAGGAAGTGCAGAGCCTAGCTTTCTAATCACAACAGATCCCCTAACAACCACAACTGCTATTTTATTATGGCTACAACTAACAAGTATTTGATTTATCAATGAATCATTCCATCTACTAAAGGTAAGAAAATAGTCAAATATGCTCAATACAATCACGTTAAAATGTCTTGTTTTGTTCAACCAAGTCCAACAAGCATCAGATATTTTCTTTGCTATAGCTGATGAAAGGATTTATTTGTTAAAAAGGATAGGACTTTTCTTTAGATCAATTAGTCATTTTAGGTCTATACATTATTATTCTTTTATCATCATTATTCAAAACACTGATCAATTCACAGGCATTCTGCTTATTGTCAAATTTGACTTTAGAGTTTGATTTATTATTAACATCACTTATAATTATCTTTTCACCCCTTTTCAATGCTTTTTTGTTTCATTGACAACAATTGATGCAAGCAGAACCAGGGAAGTTACAGTGTTTCTACTATACAATCAGCTTACTTACCTGAGCCCAAAAAGGGCAGTTTTGTGAACTTAGCCCCCCCCCCCCCCCCCCCCTGCAGCAGTGAAACACACTGCTGATGTTCTTACTGCATTGCAGTCTTCACTTTTTTCATTTTGTACTGCAGGAAAGCCTTCGATTTGTTTGAACTTGTACTCCAAAAGCTTGTTACAAAACGTGTGTGTACCTTTGACTGTCACCAGCACCATGCAGTCATGCTCAGACCAAAAGAGCAAAGATTAGAAAAGTTAATACAATTTTCCGAGCAAACGTCCACCGACTTTATTTCAGTAAAATCAGCATCATGTGATTTAAAAACATTTAATACCATTGGTAAGTCTGTCTAATATAAGTTTATGCATTAGCGTGTCAGACATAACAATGATAGTGGTCAGGATAATCTGGTCTAATATAAAAACTCAATTATAAATGAATGTCAAAGGCTATCTGGATGTGTGGCAAAGGGAAAAGCTGTGAAATAAAAGTAGGTAGTCATGTCAGCTGCCCTGTTGTGTTGGGGATGAGGTGTTAACAGTGTACTCTTCTGTTGGGAGAATTGCTCACCTCTCACTCTGGATACTGTGGTCTTTTTATAGCCTCAGTGCTAACAGCAGGCCCTCTGAAAGGTCTGATCTGATTTCTTTGAAGTGCAGACTCAAAATGATGTCCTAATGTGGCTATCTGAGATGTTATCAGCTTTCCCCTCATTTCATCAAAGCCCATTCTGCATTGTCATCATCCATACTGAATCTGTTTTGTCTTCATAGACTCCCTCCTTACTCTCTGGTCCCTGCCCCTTTTTTTTTTTCTTTCTCGTCAGGCGTTGTCAGATGGTTGATGCTGTTGAAAAAGGGTAATCACGGGTTTTAACACTAATCTGTTCCTGTGTCTCTTGTGTCTTGTCTCTCTGGCAGGTGAAGGATTGTACGGACACCCCGTCTCACACTAAGCTATGGAATGCTCCCTGCACCCACCATCACTAGTCTCCAATCTTTGGACTGAGCTCAAAACGCTTAGTTAGCGGCTGTACTTCTCCCCTCGAACTCTTTATAACCAGGGGACGAAGAAAAGGAGCGGACTTACCTCAACCGCTATAAGCGCACAGAGCACTTCTATTTTTTAAAGAATCAATAAGCTATTTTCGTCTTTTTCTCCACTTGGATTTTGTCCCCCGTGAAAACATATCAAGATGGATCTAGAGCCGTATCTGTGGATGGTGATCCTTGGCTTCATCATTGCCTTTATTCTAGCCTTTTCTGTGGGCGCCAATGATGTGGCCAATTCTTTTGGCACAGCAGTGGGGTCCGGCGTGGTCACATTGAAGCAGGCCTGCATCCTGGCGTCTATCTTTGAGACCCTTGGCTCAATGCTGCTGGGGGCCAAAGTGGGCGAGACGATTCGGAAGGGCATCATAGACGTCTCCCTTTACAACGAGACGGTGCCTACACTCATGGCAGGGGAGGTCAGCGCCATGGTCGGTAAGTTTGGATAATTTTGACATCAAATGTGGAGCTGAAATGATATGTTGATTATTCTATATTCAAGAAAAATGCATATGATCATATATGACAGTCACTTGAATATCTTTCGGTTTTTGAAAAAACATGTAAGAAAATGTCTCCTTGGGTTCTGGGAAATCAAAGCCACCATTTAAAAATAAAAAAAATAAAAGTGTAATCCAGGGAGTTGGGTAATTGCTGCTTATGACTCACTTTAGAAAGTCGCACTAATGAGTAATAATTACATGATATATGAAACAATTAGCAGATCCTAAAATAAATGAACCTGTAACTTTCTTTTGATTTGCCAAGTTTCTCTATTTACGGTTCAGGTTCGGGTTCTTTATTTGTACCCGTAGGTAGATTTTGTTTGCAGAGAAAAAGGGGGTCCATCCTGACACACTCTAAAAACAACAGACACATCTCTAATAAAAGTACACCCTGCTCCATCAAATCTCAAAATATTTCTAAAACATTTAAGAAGAACAACACTAGTACAAACACTAGTACAATCATGGACATTCAAAATTCATAATTAAATAATTAAATAATGAAATAGGCATCTGTGTGACACTCCTATGATGTGTTAATGTATGCAATAGCTGCTGGGATAAAACTGTTTTTATACCGCTCCGTTCTACTCTTTGGGACAACTAACCTCCGGCCCGAAGGAAAAAGCTTAAATTCTGTCTTTGTCAACTGAAAATATTTTGGATTTGTACAGTTGGTCAGACTAAATAATAGATACAAAAAAATTTGTAAAAATAATCAACAAATGAATCTGATAGTATATAGTTAGTTGCAGCTTTAAAATATGTATCAACAGAAACCTCTGTGATTACCACTGTAAAGAGGTAGAATGTGTTTGCAGAGTAAAACACTTCCATAGGTTAACATATGCTGTTGACGTTGTTTGGGATATTTGTTGAATAGATGAATTTTAGGACTGCAACAGATATTGAACAGTGCCTATCACAAGTTCTACAGTCCATTATCTAATCGCTATTTTTATATAAATGGTCCAAACCTCAAACATTTTTATTTGCAATTACATAAAACAGAGGAAGCCAGAAAATCCTCTCATTTGAGAAGCAATAATTAAATGTTTGGCATGTCTGCATGTTGCTCATAATTGATCTACTTTCAGATAAACCTTATGGGAGGTTTCGCTAATGTTAATCAAACTGGCAGCATTTAAACATTTCCAGAGGAAAGCCTGCCATTGTCCTCATATTTAAACACATTTACAGTAAAACACAAGCCAGTACTGTTGTGTATTCACAGTGGCTTTACACATCAACACCAGATTACCTTAGTGAATGAATGGAGCAGCACAATGGGGCTCCCATTGAGACAATGCCATTTTAATGACAGAGTGACTGCTGGGAAATGGTGATAAATAAAGGCAACATTATGCACAGGGGATTCCCGTGTCACTGGAAATGTAGTTGTGTTGCCGCCAAGAGTTGGGAGTGTCTAGGAAACACGGACCAATTTTTCTTTATCTCAAACACCATTATTGTTTATACAAAATGAGAATTTTTACCTTCTTAAACGGATTCACTTAAATCAGGAAAATGCATCCAGAAGGTTTACAGAAAACAAAATATACAGTATATGTCAATTACTAATTTAGTGCTTTAAAAAAAACCTCCAAGGCCTGACAAATGATCATTCTAATAATGAACTGTGTTGCCCGATAAATTGACCTGTGGGAAGAGATTGTGTTAACAGATCCTTTGTGAAGGATGTCTTGTTAAATCAATGATATCTTGATCAATTAACTATATCTTATATTGTTTGTCATCATTAGCTCCTGGCTACAGATTCATTTTGTGCTGCAGGCTTTCAGTAAATCCCATAAAAAGTATTTGTTAGAGAACTAAAATCCCATTAAATTACAAGCACTACATTTACTTTATAATCTCATTTGGCAATTATACATTTGAGCGGTTTTCAAGATTATATTTAAAGTATAATTGTCTGTTTTTTTATTTAATTTTTTAACTACTCTGAAAAATAATGTCTCTGCAGATTTCATTTATACTGATACAGACTCATCTCTGCCAACTTTTACAAACAATTCAAAATGTATTAAATCCAGGGAAGTAAAAAACAAACTGTGGATAGATTTCACCATTTTATATTTATTAGCACAAAATGAAAACAATGATGCATTTTATTGATGTGGCATTATTCCTCTAGTTTACAGCGTGTATTAGTGGTTTCCCAGAACAACATTTTTTATTTGATAATGTTGGGGGAAAACTAAATAAACGATGAAATGCCTGAAAGATGTCTGAAATTTGTGCGTCTGTTTCCCAGGGTCGGCCGTCTGGCAGCTGATCGCCTCCTTCCTCAAACTGCCCGTCTCTGGGACTCACTGCATTGTTGGCGCCACCATCGGCTTCTCCATGGTCGCCATCGGCACCAGGGGCGTCCAGTGGATGCAGCTTGTCAAGATTGGTAATGACTAAGATCACTTTGTGTGTGTTTTTACAATGTTTACGATTGAAAAATGACATCATGTAAACCAAATCTCGCTACAGTGAGATATCCAGTACGGTCATAGTACAGTTCTCCGTTTGCTCTGAAAAACATAAAAGGAAATAATTAGTTTGTTTTAACAAGGATGTCTCCCTCGACCATTTTACACAGCGTGTAATCTCTACTACAAGAGGCAGAGTTCACAATGTCTCCACCGAGTCCTGAGATTTACTTTAAAGTGAAATAAACTCTAATTTATCTCAGCTGAAGGGAGAACCTCTGGCTATTGCAAACACAATAATTTTAAGAAATGTAAAACAATACTGAAGTAAATGAGGACCAGAAGTGTATAATTGGAGCAAAAGGACAGCTGTAACCCTGAATAATGGCTTCCTGATGATCCTGTATCAATGGGTGACTGTAGTCTGCTCCTTTTTTTGCTGAATATGTTTTTTCTCCTCCCTCTCCAGTGTCATCGTGGTTCATCTCCCCTCTGCTCTCTGGACTCATGTCTGGACTCCTCTTCTTGCTCATCCGACACTTCATCCTCAATAAGGTGGGTTAACAAAAGGGCCCATATTAGGGCTGCTCGATTATGGCAAAAATCATAATCTCGATTATTTGGGTCAATAATTGATATCACGATTATTAAAAACGATTATCCATTTACTTTGAAAACATCAATTTATTGGAGAAAAAAATGTTGAACAGTTGATTACCCTGAACTTTAAGTATAATTCAACTGAAAAACCAAAAAAATGTATTTGAAAAAAAGAAAAGTAATAATAAAAAAATTATCGTTTTATTTCGATTACGTTGTTTTCGTAATCGTTGCAAGCCATAATCGTAATCGCGATTAAAATACGATTAATTGAGCAGCCCTAGCCCATATACTCCCTAAACGTTTTTTTCTGAAGATGAAATGGCAATGTTGTAATACTAACTGTGACTTTATCATCATAACAAAATTGTAGCTTCAAAGAATTAAAAGCAAAATATCTCTTAATTTTCCTTTTTCCTGAATCAGAGTAGTTTCCTGTGCTTCGCCTGCTTTATCAGGAATAGACCGTCGGCACACATCAAGCCCAGTCTACTTAATCAAACTTACAACTACATGGTTTGAAAGATAAAAACGAGGTTATATTTGGCTTCAATAGATTGACTAAACTATGCTGAAATAGTAACTGCTTTCTTTGAGTAAGATAAGACTAAAATACCCAAGTTAAGTAAAACCTTAAAAAAACTGGACAAAAGAAAACGTTTTCTAATTTGTATTTCTGGTTAAATTATATTTTTAGCCCAAAAGTATGTTGTAAACATGTATGTTTTTAAGCTTTTAAACGAAGGCACTGGAATTCTTAATTATTTTTAAACTAAATCATTTCATAAACGTCCATGAAGTGTAGGGTTAGAGTTTATCGGTCCACACATTTGAGTAATACAATCTAGATGCAAACAAACATACGCGTGTACACACAGACCTGTCCACAGGAGTTCGGCACAGCTTGGCCAAACCTCCATTTGGCAACACTGGCAGATCTGTTGTTGTAACAGGCCATCCCTGGCAGTGAGGAAGAGAAACGTGTGGTAGATCATGTGGAGGTCAGGACTGCAGGACCCTGTGTCAATGACTCCTCCTCTGATGTGTTTAATCATATATTCTTTGTACAGATTAGATTTGTTACTTTTTTTTTTTCATTTTCATTTAATCTTTTATTTGAACCGGGACAGTTCATGCACATTGATGAACACTTTAAAACAAAAATAATGCTGAGCCGGATTTGAGCTTTGAGCTCATTTCCGTCCGTAGTCCCGTCACATACAACATATAAGAACATGACATTTATATACATAAGGCAAGGCAAGGCAAGGCAAGTTTATTTATATAGCACCTTTCAACACAAGGCAATTCAAAGTGCTTCACAAAAATGGAAGACATTAAGAAAATGGCATTTAAAATCAGTCATTAAAAAGAAAAGATAATAAAATAAACATTAAAAGAAAAAATACATGGATAAAAGTTCAAAGTTACAGTGCAGTTTAAGATGTGAATAGTTCAATTAAAAGCGGCGACAAAAAGAAAAGTCTTCAGCCTGGATTTAAAAGTAGTAAGAGTTGCAGCGGACCTGCAGGTCTCCGGGAGTCCGTTCCAGATATTTGGAGCATAATAACTGAACGCTGCTTCTCCATGTTTAGTTCTGACTCTGGGGACAGAAAGTTGAGCAGTCCCTGAAGACCTGAGAGTTCTGGATGGTTCATAATTTAGCAGTAGGTCAGACATGTATTTTGGGCCTAAACCATTCAAAGCTTTATAAACCAGCAGCAGTATTTTGAAATCTATTCTTTGACACACAGGAAGCCAGTGTAAGGACTTCAGAACAGGAGTGATGTGATCCACTTTCTTAGTGTTAGTGAGGACTCGAGCAGCGGCGTTCTGAATTAGCTGCAGCTTTCTAATAGATATTTTAGTGAGACCTGTAAAGACACCATTACAGTAGTCGAGCCTACTGAAGATAAAAGCATGGACACGTTTTTCTAAATCCTGCTGTGACATTAGTCCTTTAATCCTAGATATGTTCTTTAGGTGATAGTAGGCTGATTTAGTAACTGTTTTAATGTGACTGTTGAAACTCAGGTCAGAGTCCATGACTACACCTAGATTTCTGGCTTTATCTGTTGTTTTGAACATTGCAGACTGAAGCTCAGCGCTAACTTTTATACGTTCTGCCTTGGCTCCAAAAACCATTACCTCAGTTTTATCTTTGTTTAATTGGAGAAAGTTCTGACACATCCAGTCATTGATTTGTTCAATGCACTTACTCAGTGTTTGAATTGGAGCATAATCTCCTGGTGAAATTGTTACGTAAATTTGTGTGTCATCCGCATAGCTATGGTAACTTATTTTGTTGTTTTTCATTATCTGAGCCAGTGGTAGCATGTAGATGTTAAAGAGAAGAGCAAAAATAAATACATGATATGCAGGAAGAGCATGAGCAGCATATACAAGTATTTACCACATGGCAGTACAATGTAGCAGCTATGATATATAAAGTGCAAGAGAAGATAAAAGTGCTACATAAAGTGCAAGAGGAGATACCCCTGTATTAAAGTGCATTTAGCGGTGATTGCCCGTCTGTTTGTTGCTAAACCATTCTTTAAGTTGACCTTTGAAACTATTGAGAGTGGGACAATCCCGTATCTCAGTTCGGAGGCTATTCCACAATGAGCTGCCCTTAATGGAGAGGACATTTTGTCCAAAAGTTGTCCGTCTTTTCCCATGTACAAAGATGACCGCATCATCGGCATACATTTGCACATTCAAATCAAGACATACATTAGGCAAGTCATAAATGTACAGAGAAAACAGTAATGGTCCAAGAATGGAACCTTGTGGAACCCCAACAGGGTTCACAAGGTAGGGGGATTTGACTCCGTTGACCAAAACATACTGTTTTCTGTTCGATAAGTAAGACTTAACCCACTGTATTGAATCTGCCGAAAAATTGAAATACGTCAGCTTTGTAAGGAGCACTTGGTGGTCAACAGTGTCAAAAGCCTTCCTGAGATCAAGGAAGACAGCACCTACATATGGGCTCGTGTCCAACATACATTTAACCTTTTCCACAAAGACACAGTTAGCTGTCTCAGTGGAGTGGTGAGCACGAAAACCAAACTGCATTGGGTGGAGTGGAGCGAAACCTTTGTCTAAATGTTTGGTGATTAGTTTTGACACGACTGTTTAGTTTGTGGAGGTGAGGCCCAAAACCTCTGCAGGGCGTTCATATTGCACTTTAGATCATAATAGCAGTAAACAGCACATTGTGAAAGAATGAAGTGTTTTACTTCGTCACTGACCTAATTTTTTCTCCACACATTGAACCTGTGCTGAATATCTCACTTCCTTTTTTTCACTTCCCAAAGAGATTACATTTTAAAATCGTATATTACAAAATAACTAATCGGAACCATTGAAAAGCTTAAGTTCACAGAATGTTTTGCGCTTTTGGTAAATAAAAGAAATCACTGAAACTATTTACAGGTTATCAAAATAGTTGCTGATCAATGTTAATGTGTTTCGCTCCACAGGACGACTCCGTCCCTAATGGCCTGCGAGCGCTGCCTGTCTTCTATGCGTCCACTATTGGAATCAACACTTTCTCCATCTTGTACACTGGAGCCCCAGGTAATGATACTGAGATACTAACTCTGTTCATTTAGTCTGACGCACGTACCATCAAATCAGCTCAGTCGCAACCTTCAAAAATTCCTTTAAAGTTGTTTCGAGAGTTTGAGAAGATTATAATACTTCAAAACTACTTTCAAAATGTTATTTTCTTACATTTTCTTATTGTCTGTCCATTTATTGCAGTGCTTGGGATAGAGATGCTCCCGGTGTGGTCGATCTTTCTAATTACTTTAGCCGGGTCGCTGATCTGTGGAGCTGTGGTCTGGTTTTTGGTCTGTCCCTGGATGAGGAGGAAAATAGCGGGTAGGTGTCTGCGCCTGTGTGCTTGTGTGTGTCCAGTCTTTCTCACGCCATCTAAAAAGCCGCGCACTCTGACCCAGGCCTCACAACGGAGCCTCAGCGTCTGTTTGCCCACTCTGTGCTCCAACACCAAACAAGGGATGCCAGCGGATGTTTTCTCTCGTTGCCCTCTGCCAGAGACACTGAAGCCACCAAAGAAACTCTGTGAACTCTTCCTTACACACTTTGGAAATCCTCTAGCTTCAGATCATGTCCTGGAGCTGGAAAGCTTTCGGAATTATTTCTCTAATGGAAAAATCAGCTTGCAGCACAGCAGACGACGCTGTAAAACATGACACAATAAATAACACAGTGGAAAGAGCAGCTGCTGGATATAAGCAAGGCAGTCTGTCTTTGAATGGTTTACTTAATGTCATGCAGACAAATAAGAACATTTGTTTATTTCAACAATCCAAAGACTAAGGTCAGTCTGAGTAATACTTCCAAATTAAGACATTATAAATGCTGATATGAAGATATAATATGAGATAGTCTCACAGTTTGACAGCCCTTAAACTAAAGAACTAAAGAGCTGCTCTTATTGAGGCAGCGACATTGAGACTTAAAATAGAACGATTGTTTGTCAAACTTTCCGAGCCTGCACGCGGCCGATCTGTTGCTCAACGTGTTGCGACCTCTGAATGCCGGTGAGGATTATAGGTGATATTATCGCTCCTAATCTGGATATTGCTGCATCCGTCAAACTGAAGCAGGTGGTGGCTGAGTTTATGTGTGTGTACTGAGGGGTGTGTGAGGAGTTGTGGGGCATCAGGTCAGTCAGCACTGGGATTAGTCAGGATCAGCTGATGGCTGTACTTGTGTTTGTGGAATGTTGCTGCATAGTTTTCTCAACCAAAATCAGGCCATTTATTATTAATCATTATTGATATTACTTCAGAGTAACTATACACTTTCACTAAAGACGCGTTGGAACAATTTAATTTTAAAAACATGATCTGAGTTTCAACTTGCCAAATTATTGATTCACTTGTGAAACTGTTGAACTGATTTCATCAGACGGCTCTAATTGGAAATAATCCAAAAAAGCTTTACTGTAAAACCTCAGTCTTTACTACCCGCCGTTTGACTTTATAATGTTCCACTTTCATACTGTAAAGGATTACCTAGACATATCAAAATAAAACCCTCACATGTTAATACCATTATCGTATTTTAAGATTTTAATTAGTATACAATGCCCTGTAAACTCTGTTAGCATTTGTAGCGAGCGTTTTCAGTTTTATCTGGTGTCGATAGTATGTCCAACTAAACCCTCCTTTGCTTGATTTCCTCCAGGTCGCCTCAAGAAGGAGCAGGCTCTAGCACGGATCTCTGATGAGAGTCTGGACAAGATCCCGGAAGAGGAGGAGGAGAGCCCCGTCTTTAGGGAGCTCCCAGGGGCCAAGGGCACAGACGAGGCCGTGCTGCCGCTCACCGGGGGGGGCAGTGACCGCGAGTCCAGCGGAGACCTCAACAACCTGGCTAATGGAGGCAACATCCTGCCAAACGGCAGGGCGTACGGTAAAACTGAAATAATATTATTTTTCAAAGACAACATTGATTTGGCAATGTGTTTCTAGCTTCCTTCTTGACAATTGATCAATAGGTCTTGTGACTTTCGAGAGATATAATTAAATCAATCAATCAAGATAGTTCATCCCTTTTCTTCCTGCAAAAGAATATTTATTATTTACATGTCTAGTTCCCTCTCGGTTTCTCTATGTTTAGGGAAACCCGATGTCAATGTGCTGTGATAGTGTATCACTTAACTTGCAAACTTTTTTTTCAAACTCTTTCTCCTTCAGGCCGGACCAACTCAATGACCAACGGCTGCCTCAAGTCCCCCATCTCTAACGGCAGCTTCACCTTCGATGGCCACATGCGCAGCGATGGCCAGGTTTACCACACAGTGCACAAGGACTCTGGTCTGTACAAAGACCTGCTCCACAAAATCCACGTGGGCCGCATGGACGAAAGCGACCGCTCTGGCTCCAACGCCGGCCCGGCAGACAACAACTACCGCCTGCTGCGGCGCAACAACAGCTACACCTGCTACACCGCGGCTATCTGCGGCATGCCAGTCCAGCCGCTCATTCGCTCAGAGTCACGCGACGACAGCGAGAAGCTGGTGGGAGAAGGAGGCGGCAGGAGCAACAGCGTGTCCTATACCAAGAAGAGGATACGCTACGATAGCTACTCGTCCTACTGCAACGCTGTGGCCGAGGCTGAGATTGAGGCCGAGGAGTGTGGGGTGGAGATGAAACTGGCCACAGAGCTGGAAGGATTGGATGAAGATGGGGCTCCCGCTCCGGTGCCTCTGGAGGACCTGGCCGAGGAGGAGGAGAAGGACAGGCCTGAGGTGTACCTGCTTTTCCACTTCCTGCAGATCCTCACCGCCTGCTTCGGCTCTTTTGCCCATGGAGGCAACGATGTCAGGTACTGCCTCCTGCTGCTCACAGGACATACAGCATCCCATACAAACACTGCACTCGTCAAAGCACATCTCCCTTGTAGCAGCTCATCTATTTCAAATCCAAATGTATTCAAAAAACTAAGATGTATGTTATCAGTTCCAAAATTCACACGTTCTTTTCTCATCTTACAAACAATTCTGCTTCATTCCATATTTGTTGGTGTTTATCCTTTCAAAAACGAAATGGTCACTGATGTTCTGAAAAGTTAGCTTACCAATTACCGTACCTAAAGGGAGGTCCACACCTGTATGAACAATGTGCTCTAGAAGCAATCATTAAAACCATTAAAACATTGATATCCCTTTTAATAACAAAAACATATATATAACAACGAGGTCTTCAAGGCTTTAAGACCCTCAATAGAAGCTTTGAATATAAAATAAAATAACAATACATGAAATACACCCCACACAAGGCCTTGTGTAGATTATTAACAATAATATGAATTGTCACCAACAAATGGTGTTCCATCTAACACTAAAATAATTATCTTTTTATTCTCTCACCTTCGCAGTAATGCCATCGGGCCCCTGGTGGCGCTGTGGATGATCTACGATCAGGGGGGTGTGATGCAGGATGCTGACACCCCCCTCTGGCTGCTGTTTTACGGCGGTATAGGCATCTGCGCCGGCCTGTGGGTGTGGGGCCGTCGCGTCATCCAGACCATGGGAAAAGACCTGACTCCCATCACCCCGTCAAGGTGAGAAAGCCACCACATGGGGGGGGGGGTGGGCCAGGGGAGTGTCTAGGGCTGTATTTTGTAAATGGGTGAGAAAGAAAGTGTTTATACGGAGGAGGTCAACTTTTCAACTTGTTTCAAAAAGCCTCGACATGCTGACACACACAGGTCCATCCAGTGAAACAGCGTCCTTGGTAAGTGTTTGGTGCACACAGCTCTATTAGAATGCACACACACATTTTAATAAAGTAATTTAATGTTATTCAACAAGTCATTGCAGTTCAACAGTTAAATCCACTCAGCTGGCAGCAAATTGCAGCACAATCATGATTAGAGCCCCTGCTCTGTTTCCTCTGGTGCTCCCTGTTATAGGTACTGTAAACTTGTCTGACTAATCAAGGGCGTTTGTTTGAGCATGCACTGATTATCCACTCTCTACTCCCCAAACAGAGCGGCCTCTGCAAGAAAAAGCATTTTTACCACACATGCGTTTTGCAAGTACAATGTTGTACTTACATTATCAGTTTGATCTCTTATGGCTTACATGAGAATTATATCAAAATATCTATAGAGGGCAGACCTTTTTTTAAATATTTTAACAAAATGTATTCACATATTACCGGACAAGTAAACAGTATTTGATGATGAATATGAACATCTATATAATATAAATGTAATTGAATCTGTTGACAGTAATCACCGTCTTCCTACTTGGACTGTTATGTATAGAAATCTGCTGTCATCATTTCTTCTGCAGTAGCCCTTTGTATAGAGAATGAAGTAGGAATGATTCATTTTTCTTCAGACCTTTTCACTTCTTACATAATAATTCAGAATAAATAACAAGCCTTATGGACGACAACACATGAAGCCCTGCGGCGAACTACATCCTACAACCTTAGCAGCGGACATCACGCAACATAAACCCTGCTGCTGCTCGGCCCTTTAGATTGATCTCTCGTTCTCTGTCCCCTCGTCTTCCCACGCAATGAAGCCTGTGTGTGTGCGCATGTGTGCATACCTCAAGGATGTTAGTGTGTATCGTGTCAGCTGAAGAAAGCTAGGCTCTATGCCTGCAGGTCGCTGTGTGTGAATGTATCCATGCGCACACATTCAGGGATAATTGTTCCAGCTAGTGTGCGTGTGTGCTCTGTTGCCTGTCAGGAACATCACACTGGGTAACAGGAAGTTGTTTGGCACTGTGGATGAGGAGAAGTAGAGCAGGAAGGGCGAGGGAGGGGCCACAGTGGGAACCCTGGCCTCTCTTCTCCAACCGCAGCGAGGGCCGCCAGCCTGACTCCTTCTCTGGCACTTTCCTTTTTTCCCCCTCTGTCTTCCTCCGTTTTTCATGCTCCTTCCTAGCCTCTCCTGTAAATAGGAGGAATTTGGAATCAACCCTCTTATTATTCTCCTTTCCTCCACTGCTTCCTTTTCTTCCTTCCTTTCCATTTTCATATCCTCGCTGCATCTTTGTCTTGTTCTTTATCGTCGTCTCACCTCTAAATCTTTCTCTGAGTACTCCAATTGTTCTCACTCTCATTATTTCTCCAACTTTCTTCATTTCTCCTCCTCCTCCTCGGCCCCTCTCTCTTGCTGTGTGCCTCCTTTTCTTTCTTTCTTAATCGCCCTTCTTTCCATCACCAGCTTAGTCTTTAGCGGGGACTCAAAGACACATTAGCTCTGGTTCACAGTTCTAAAGGCTCTCTTCCCTCCACTGTCTGTTTCCATGCGTCAATCTGACAAAGAGGTTCTTTTGGGTCGAGCGTAGGAAAGTGTGTAGATGTGTGTCAGACAGTGGCTGCCTGGCATCCCAGCAGGCACAGTGGACACTTCAACATGGCAGTGAATCACAGCAGTAAAACGTATTTTTTATAAACGTGAAATATGGATTTCCAGCCAGCACTCTTGTTGAACCGCCACGGGACAGACTGAGATGGTGACGAAATGTGACCGGTCCTCTGGAAGATGAATTGTTACAAAAGACGTTTCTCCAAAGAACAGGTGTAAAACATTATATAACTGATGGCTTGAATCCATTCATCTTTCTTACTGCCTTGATGAGAGACATGCAGTTTCTTTTCCTTTGCCTTTTGCTAGGGAGCATTTGGTAGCTGAGCGCTGACAGGAAAATGTAGAGAGAGAGAGAGAGAGAGAGAGAGACAGATAGGGTATGACATGTGACTCAGTCCCCCCTGACCAGTCTTGAACTGGGTATGATGCAATCACATAGTCTGCTTCTTAAGCCCACCAGGACATCACACACAAGTCTTAAATATTTCTGCACATACAGTTGGGGCGAACGTCCTTTCACAGATGGGTTCAAGTGTAGTCAAAGTTTGACTCCAGTCGAATCACAAGAGCTCTTCTGCCCCAGCTGTTCATGATTCAGCATATTCAACACTGCCTTTACCCAGAACCTCACCTCAGTGTTGAGTTTGATCTAAGAAAGGGCAGCTATTGACTCAGTTACAAGTCTTTTCACTCATTTAGATTTCCTGATTTGTATCTCTCGTGCCATTTTGAAATCCTTCATTTACCTCCCAAGTGAATGGCCAAATGTTTCTTTGTGTGATGGGTGTGTGTCAAAGTGTGAATAATGTTATGGAAAATTGGACAGAAGTGTCTCCTGATCAGCACGATTTAGATGGTCTTTATTAGTTGTGTACAAACATATAGGACTCGTATAAATGCTGTGTATATTGGGTGTGGGTGTATGTGTGTCAGAGGGATAACATGTTGTTTCTTTTGTTTAAACTGCTCTATTATTGTGTTACTATGAATGTGGGCCGTGCCATCGGCAACTCAACCCAGATATTACAATGAAGGATGTCTCTTTGTTCCCCCCTCCCCTCCCTTCTCCACAGTGGATTCACTATTGAACTGGCTTCTGCACTCACAGTCGTGTTTGCTTCCAATATCGGAATCCCTGTCAGTACCACGCACTGCAAGGTATGAGCGAGGGGCCTCCAGCTGGTCTCTCAACCCCCCCTACAGGCATTTCCAGGGGAGAGGGAGCTCACACTGCCTCCCAGGGCTCTGGGCTGGGAAACACTCTGTAAACTGAGCCGTTGAATTCAGATTAAAGCAATCTGTGTACATCACCTTTTCCCTGGTCGAGTACACAAAGATGCCCAGATCAAAATGTACCTCAGAGATGACAACGTTTACGTTATTTTCACTTTGTTAAAAGACAATCAAAACATTTGGGTCAGTATCCAGCCCCCTGCAGCAGTGTGCAGCCCCTCCCCCCTGTTTATTTGCAGGAACATCGGATCCAGGCTGGAAGACGTTGCGGACCCTTCCACCAACTCTCTCCCATTTTGCCCTCTCAGCACTGGCATGGTTTGGTGTGTGGGTTATCCACCCTCCAAACACCCCCACCCCCACCCACAGCATCCTCCCCAACCCCCCCCCTGCCACACTTGTTTTCCTCTTTTTTTTACCTCTCCCTCTCCATCTTTCTGTCTCTCCACTCATCTGTTTTTACAGCGGATTTTGCATTGAAGTAATGAGTGCGCTAACAGTGCTTGTTGCATCAAATGTGGGCATCCCAATAAGCTCCACCCACTGCAAGGTATTGGTGTCATTGGTAGTGAAGCCCCTTCATCGCTTCACCTGTAGCTGTCAATCGCCAAAGCCAATCACAACTCCTGAAGGTGCTGTTTTGACTTCTACAGTTCTCCTTCAGCAGCAGACCCCTACAAAAAATGTATGAGATGTTATGCAAGATTATTAGACACAGAGCAGTATATTACAAGTGTAAAGCTATTTAACTAATTGAAAGCAAAGAGACTCGTGTATCTTCCTGTGAAGTTTTATAATTTATTTCACATTCTTCCTGTAGCCATATTTTGATCTACTCTTTAGGAGTAATCTTTACCGTCGCAGCATTTTATGTCAGACGCTATTCCCAGTGAGTCTGAGAGGGGCTGTGAGGTAGATTTAGTTGGAAAAAGACAAAAGAGCCATTTGCTATTCCTTAGTTTCTATGTACAGCTACGTTTTCTGACTAGCTTCCTTTCCCAGAAAGCGCGGTATTGATCTTCTAGTTTCAAACGAATAAGCAGATAACCTTTAAACTGGTCGCCTGTATTTGTGGAGATGATTAAGTGTAAACGCACACATCTTATTTTAAAATGATGTCAGTGAGACGGGTCAAAACAAGGGATATGTTTTTCCTCCCAATAGCTGCTTCACAACATAAAAGTCAAATGAAACTTGTCTCTATGATAGAGATGATTTTGTCTAACAGCCTGCTGAAGGGGAACTGCACAAGACTCAAAACTGGTATTAAATGACTGATAATCGATTTGTCTAAACTTCATCATCCATACATTATTTTCCCTTCTCACCTCCACTTACCCCTGTCTCTTCCTTAAACCACGGATAATCATCTGCTTTGCATAACATGTTTAATCTACTAAAGGTTATAAGTATACTGTCATGATTTAGTGACTGTGTGAGGGAGATGCCCAGATGTTGTTGGAAGATATTAGAGAACTTGTGATACAGATTGTTAAAAGTGACTGAAGTTTTCCGAAATTATCCAACAACATCTGTGAACATCTCCCAGAGCGAAGGTGGGATGTGGTGGGCATCCACTTGGTTTTATCTAAGCTAAGAGCAACTTCTTTTCATTTGGCTTTTGTGCAGATGAAACTGAATGGATGCCCAGCCCCGGTGACTTTATGTGCAGTGACTCGTCGTTCCAAAAGCTCCACAGGCAGGCAGCAGCACAAACACTGAGGTCACACCGAGTTCGGGCTACTGCTGCATGACTGAAATACTACAATTGGCTGCAAACACACCTCTTGATCACAAAGCTTACATATTGTTCCACACAGGCTTTAGTAAGACTGCTTTGAGAATTGAATCATCCAAATGAAGGGAAAAAAAGACTTCATGCCTTCCCTAAAGATATGTTTGTGTCGTCTAGTCTGGCACTAGTGTAACTTTGAGTAACACTGACTTATCGAACACATACTCCGCTGGTAGGCTCTGTTGACCTTCCACATTTAGTCTCGAGTGTGACAGAAGGTGTCTCATGTTTCTCTGGCCGTATAAGAGCAGGCACGGTCTAAGCCCCGCCCACCTGCAGCGTCACTAACTGAGCTGAAACCAAGTCACTGCACATGCAACTCTCCAACACACTGAAGGACTGGAAAATGTGTTCATGTGTCTTCTCCAAAATGGATTCTTACTCAGTACTATACTTAACTGATAACTTGACTAAAGGTGAGAGAAGTGTGTATTGGTGGACGACTGACATTAGCAGAAATTATTGAATACTCTATTAATAATAGAAAACTCTAAACGTAAAAAAAAAAGGGTGATTTTTATTGCACCATAACTTCTGATTTCACGCGTCCACCCTATAATGTAATTTAGGTAGCTCTAACTTTTACAATTTAGCTTGCTCTGACTAACACCTACAGTTTAGACCCAAAAGGTCTTGAGGAGCTGCAGGCTGATAACAGGCTTTTTTGTTTCGATGTGATTGTTTACCTTACCTATGGATCTCTTACACCTTTTCTACATTCATTCACTTAATTTCATACTTTAACCTGACATCTATAATTGATATTTACATAGTTTTGTATGATTTTTACACATAAGTAATGTAATCACCTTATAAAATCTGAAACATTTCTATAGTTATGAACAAATATAATTGAAACATGACATGAAATGAAATTGTCATCTAAAATAATACATAACATGAAGGGTACTATGATACCTTTCCACAGTACATTTGATAATACTAATGTATTTGTACAAGTCCATAATATCCAGATGGACATATAAACATGTAAAGATGCCTGTAAAAACAAGCTCAAATGATCTAAAATGTTCAAAATAATAAAAAGCCTTAACAGCCTGCAGCTCTTCAAATTGAATTTGTCTAGTTTAAACATTTTTGTTCCCTACCATCCATGTTCCTGATTGTTTTTCTTCCCCCCCCCCTCCAGGTGGGCTCGGTCGTGGCCGTTGGTTGGATCCGCTCCAAGAAGGCAGTGGACTGGCGCCTCTTCAGGAACATCTTCCTGGCGTGGTTCGTCACGGTGCCCGTGGCCGGCCTGTTCAGCGCCGCCGTCATGGCCCTGTTCGTCTACGGCATCCTGCCCTACGTCTGAGGGCCAGGAGGGAGAACATGGGAGGAGCAGAGAGTCAGAGGAAGAGATAGAGGGAACCTTGGGTAAAATCAGAGCCCGAGTGTCAGGGGTTCAGATAAAGGAGAAGGAAATAAGGAGAGAGAAGCTGCAGAGGTTTACACATGGACGTGGTTGTACTGTGGATGTGAGGAGGGTTGGTTCATACGCTGCCTGGCTCCGGAGATATGTTTTTGACTCCTATGGGTTTCTGATTGTTTTTATTTATTCTCTTCTTTTGGGTGCATAAGAAAAAGGTGTATTACAAACATGTTCACTGTACCATTCAATCTGCTGTACATATGCCATAACAGAGAAATATCCAGTAACTCTTAAAAAAACAAAAGAATCACGAGTTTAAAAAGAAAAGACGGCACAAACCTTTCAAATAATAATAAAAAAAGGTTAAATCTGCCGACTTTAAACAACATCATGCTGCGTGCTATCCCAGGAAGCAGAGTCGCGCTGGTGCTCATTATTTTTGACCCAAAATGCCAGAAAACCCCCCTGTACATATTGTTGTAGTGGAGTGTGATTTGTTGTACTTTGGCTTGCTTTAAAGTTGAAAAAGAAAACGACAAAAAGAACCAGATGTGCGTGTGGGAAAACCAACCCCTCCATCGTCTCACCTCTAACATGCTAACCAGGTACAACTAGGGCCAAACGGATAGGACGCCTCAGAGGGGGGGCGGGACTGTCACTCTGCTTTATTTTCCACATGATACCACAGAAACCTGATTCGCTAAAGAGTTGATTTTTGTCAAGAGCTCCTGTATGTTTTTAGAGATGGATCTCATATTTTTTAATGATGTAATATACTGTAATTTGTACTGTAAATACTATCCTTAAAGAGGTCGGGATGGGGATCATGGTGTGTTTTTAAACATAGTAAGGATGGGGGGGATGGGGGGTGGCTCTTTACCTCTTCATGATGTCGTGTCCCAGAGTACACACACACTCAGTGAACACACACACACACACTCAGTGAACACACACACACACACACACACACACACTCAGTGAACACACACACACACACTCAGTGAACACACACACTTGACAAGCTGCTGTTTTTCCATAGGTTTGCAGAAGTATATTGATTGGAAAACAGTATTACAAATTGGAAGTAATGAAGCCAGAACTGGAGATATTGTCAGTAACAGTATTGGCAGAAAGATCTTTAGCTAAAGGTTTGAGAAAAGGTTTAGATGGTTATATCAGTGACATTTAAAGGTCTGGGTGCCGCAGAAGCCAAAACACTAAAACTGAACCAGGATAAAAACACTAAAATGGTCCCACAAAATGTTCACATACTGTATCTTCATCCGTTTGCCTTTGTTTTCATAACATAATTCACCTACTGGAGTCAGTGTTTTACATTGAAGGCTCCCTGCCAATGATGGACCTCGACACATGTTTCTGATCCTGCATCGCCGCTCAGATTACATTTCTTAGTCCGGGACGTGTCTCTGTAGCTCTGACCCTCGGCCTCATGCTCCTGGGCAGCTTCGTCATGGCAGACGGCGATTATGTGTCATATCACTTTGTATTATAACTCCAGCCAGTTATGCAGAAGTGGGAAGAAAGGGGATTTAACCCCCAGCCACACGTGTAGCTCCTCAAAATGGGCTGGTTGTTGTTTTGAAGTGTAGAAACATTTAGTCTATTGATCACCTGTGTTTCAATCGAAGTGCTAAAGGCAAGCTAGATATCATAGGCTCCAGTTTTGGGCTCAATCGAAGCCAGAACACTATCACAAGACTTCTGTCTTAGGATCATTATGGTATGGTATCGGGGGGGGGGGAGGGGATAGTACTGATCATCACCAGCTTTTTAACCAGGTCACCTGACCTGTAGATAAACAAAGTTTAAAGCTTTTTTTTATTTGAACAAACTCGATGCCAGGTGTTGCAAGTTCTTTTTTTTGTTCTTGTGTGTTTCCTAATTTCATTTTTATTTTTTTTCTCATGAACAAATCTATGCTTAAGTAGCCACTTGCCTTGTAACATTGTGTTTTACTTTGTGCAGATACAGTGAAATAATTAAGTACTGTGGTGTTTACATCGTAACCATATTGTAGACTATCTGAAAAAATAAACTGTTGCCTAATGATGCCAATGAAAGACAAACTATTAACCATGACTTTTTAAGTGCAAGTAAAACAAATAAAATAACCTGAAGTGTCTAGAGAGAGAAAGAGAGAGAGCAAGTGTGCGCGTGATGACTGTTTTTATGTTGTTGTAGCAGTAGTGCTAATCATGACCCTGTCACTTTACACTGCTAATACAAAGCATTGACACTGCATGTATGGGTGCAATTCAGTAATGAAGAGAATGACTAGAGACATTTCATCGACTATATATTTTTCTACCATATCTGAGTTTTAACCTGGGTGAGCTTCCTGACACTGGAGGGCACACAGTGGGCTGAGGGGGAAGCGAGGACTATTTGTTCAGAGATCTCTGAGAAAAGATCTTCTAACAAATCAGTATCCCTCCTCGCTGGTGCCATGTGCCGCACCTCCTCTACGCCCGGTGTGTTCTTTGTAACTTTGGCGTTGTGTCGGTTGCCAATAGATCAGATTTTTAAATTACATTTATATTTTTGAATTTTAGATGAAAACTCTTTGTAATTGTGTTTCCCTGCTGCTTATAATCATGAGCCTTGAGAGCAGCTTGAAGTCTTGCTAAATCAGGACGACTGCTCTCCGTAGGTAAACTAAAAGCGAAAATCTCTGTAGGCAACAGAATAAATCTTGTAGGCCTACTCTGTAACTGATAACTGGACTATGAGGACATTTGTTTCCTTGTTTTGGCAGGTAACCACTCTTGAAGCTCATACCCTTTCACTCTTCCACAGGGTGTGTGTTACACAGGGGGCTGCACGGAGATGGTGTGTGTGCAAACTCTGTGCTCTGGTACAGTAGAGCTGGAGAAAGAACATATAACCTGTATAAGATCAGAGTTTACAACCATTTCTTCAAAGTGGCCAAAGTAACTGGAATATTTTATATATTATGCACATGTTATCATCTTATAGAGAGCAACAGCTAAAAAACACTTGTTTTTTGCTTATTCTAAAATAAATAGGCATGTATCACGATTTACTTTATAACATTAAGAACTCCTTATCATTTATCCAAGAAAAACATTATTCGTTAGTTACCAAGTGCACAGTTAAAGACATGCGTTAAAGGCTAACAAAATATCCATTCATGTTTTGTTTTTATGTTGAGAACATTTGATATGATGGATATAGTGTGGTCGCAGCTGGTAGATGTGTGTTGCTCTCGTGTTCAGTTGGTACAATAAAGGAGACTGAATCCACTTTCCTCTGGTTGGATTATGAGGTTTACTGGGCTGAGGTCGGCCAGGGTTCAGATATTTGGTTTGTGCTGGATCACTGCGGCCCCTTGTGTAACCTGCACTGTCATTTTCTGTTTTGTTTTTCCATGCATTCACCGTCCTGATAGGCCAAACGGGGTGCACTGCTCAAAAGAGGGGGGGGGAAGTGAAAAGAAAACCTAATATTAATGGCTCAAACTCTAAAGTTTAGGAACCATTGCTCTATCAATATTAAAGCCCTAGACAATTTGGTTTCAAATAGTGTGTATTTCTTTAAAACATTAAATACAAATTGTAGGTATGAAAGGTTTAGCTAATAGTATTTGATTGGCAAACATCTAACGACTTTTATCACATGTTGATTCAATGTCTCCGATTGGGGCATAAACCATGTGACACCTCTAATTTCCAAAAGAGCCTCGCCTATTTAAAACCTTTGAGAAGAGCAAAAAAAAGTGCAGAAATTGCTCACGTAAAGATAACCAAAACTGTGCTTTAACAAAATAAATGTAGTTTCTATATTGGAAACAATCAGCCGTAAAAAAAAAAGCTGATTGAGAAAACAAGTTGTCAGGGCTCCAGAGTAAGTTGTAGATGAAACTGCCAATAATTCCAATAATTGTGCAGGTAAAATGAATGATACTAAAGTCAATGCAGCCACTAGACACTTTCCCCCCCACAGAGAGGGACAGCAGTATCAATAGACGCTGCAGTGTAATGCCATTGAGGGAGTCACTGTGCTTCTATTGCATTAGTGTGACCTTCGCAGAGAAACAGCAGGCGCCATTTCTTTCTCCCTGAACACATGCAGTTTGTTGTGAAGCTGTAGCTCCACCTGTCCTGCTGAAATAGCGCCCCCTCCAGGCTGTACTGACACAGTTGGAGGGGTCCTCATCTGGATGTGGCGTGCTGTCTCTAGTTTTCTGCTCTGTTTTGTAATAGGATGTGCTCCTTGGCTGGCCTGCAGGCTTTACAGCTCTGTGTTGTCTGTTTACTGTTTACTGCTATTTAACTGTCCAGTCCTTCAAAAGTAAAAAAACGAAAAAAACAACAGTAATGAATAAAAAAAATCAAGAGAAACTGTAGCCTGCTTCTACAAAATCTTAAAGCTCTTCTGATTTGCATATATCGTACTGTAATGTTTTATTTAAGATTTTAGTGGAGAAAAAAATGTCTGCATTTAAACTAAATTGTGGGAATTAAAATTACAAAGGAAATTGAACAGAGTTGTGTGTGTTATTTTTGAAAAGTTGTGTAAGAGTTGAAGACATGGTGCTTATTGCTTTCATTTCTATATTACACTCATCCTGAACAGCAGTAGTAACATGATATAATTTAGCTTTTTATCTACATATATTTGTGTTTAATCAATGTATAGAGTGGTCAAGGATTTATGTATGAGAAGTGGTTATTCTCATTTAGTCACTTGTTTTGTACCTATATATCTGAGTTACAATGCTGTCCCCTTAATGTTGTGCCTGCTCATTTCCCCCCACTTTGCATGCATTTGGTTTCCAACAGCAACCGGCCTCTTTAAAGACTGAATGAATGTGTCAGATCTTTTCAGCCTGCTCTTATTTATTTTGTTGTTTTTTTTTTAAAGCTTGGATAATAATTCAGTGACTTGGCACAGATTGCACTTTTAAGTTCCCAGCACTGTGGCTCTCTGTGCTGGCTTTAATTTGAGAAGTCTCTACAGAAACACTGAAAAATGCTGGTTTGATGCTGGCACACAGCGAGTGACACACCATTTACGTTCAATGGTATAATGGTTTCCATTTCATGTTGGTTAAATCAGTAACCAACAAGCAATGGAAACCATAACCTCCCTGCAGTCACAGCAGGGTTTCCATAGTCATCATTGTTCTCTCAAAGGTATTTCACTTGTGTTCATCTTTATTGAGCACACTTAAACCCGACCTGAGGTCTTATAATTAAAGATGTGGTGCAGTCCATTTAAGTTCACTTTTTCTCACGCTGGGATAATGTGCATGTGGCTGAAACCACTCTTCTTAAGTTAAATCTATCCAAGTGAAATGCCTTCTCTACATTCACTAAGAACACAAAAGAAATCCAACCTTAGATCAAATCAAATTTCAGATAAACACCTTTTCTTCCCGTCTACATTGGCGCAGAGCCTGCTGTCACACAGCCAATCAAATTGTTTTGTTGTAAAGTGCCTATGGAAGTGAATGCTGAGTTATTCCACTGCAGCCTCTCCGTTATGTCCATACACAGGTTAAATATAAATATTTTAATTTGGTATTAATGTTTTGGTAAAGCCAATGTTTTCATGGCACACAGCAAATAAGCAGCTTAGATTGTATAGTGTTTGTGGCCTTAATATTTTAGTATAATGTACTCTGCCTTAATTACATCTGACATGCAATTCTAGCATCTTATGTAAAGAAATAATATACACAGGTCAGACTAGTCGAGGCTTATGTGTATTATGTGTACATATACATTCATGTATTTTATCGTTTACTATGTAGTATGTATTATTTGTACCTTCTGTTGAACTGCAGAGCAGAGACCAAACACATTTCCTTATGGAGACGATGAAATATACTGCATTGCATCACCTTCAGTTTCCAGAAGGCCAAAAAAGAACTCCAGCAAAAATACATGTTTGAATATCATTTTCTGTCCTTCTTGATTCCAGTCCGACTGTGAACTGAGCCTCGCATGTTGGTCTGGTGTTGCTGCTGCTGACAAGAGGAGATGACAAGACTAATTGAGATTAAACTTGACCTGTAAGATAGGTGTTTATTTTTACCATATACTGTACATGCTCACCAAGAAGTTAGCAAATGAGAAAAAGAAAGTAAAACACAAACCAGAGCGCAGTATTGGGTTAGTTCATTTCCATCCAAAACATTTTATTGTCCTCCGAACTGAAAGGTGTACCCTGTGGTTTGGCCTGGTTCGCTGAGCCAAACATCATACATTGCATCTCTTCAGGTAGCAGCGAGGCATACACAGATCTTTCTGACTGAGAAACGATTGGAAAGAGCAACGCAGGATCCTCTCCTTCAAGTCACATGATGAGTAATCTTTGCATTCATGAGTAATGGAGAGAAGATTAATGTCAGATCACGGGGAGCTTGAAGAAAGAAAGTAGGGTCTGGTCTTCCATAAAAGAGAGAGAAGGGGGGGAACAAAACAGTTTGAAGACCAGGTTGTGTTTCTTCCATGTTAGAAAAGGCCTGAAAACGGTCACACTGGGGAGCTTCATCGGTTTGCCTCCGAGTTGTGTATCGCCTTTACGTAGAGCATCTGTAGTGTACACCAATGGACACTGGATATGTAATTCAAAACCAAAGTGCCCACAGTCGATATAAAGCAAGGTCACATGACCCAAAACAGGTGATGACACACAGGGGAGGGGAAAGGGGGTTGAGACTGGACATGAATGTACCAAAACGCTGCCATCAGTGTGTGTGCGTGTGTGTGGTGCAGAAATGCCGTGGTGTGGCACTCAGCACCGTTCTTTACAGTTACTCAGGTGTCTGAACCAAAGAGAAAGACCCCTCCTCGTGACTGTGCAGTTCAAAATGGGCACATGGTGATTTAAGCTCATGCTTAAGTTGTGGTAAACCATCCAAGCACTTTAATTAATAACTATAAATACACAGCAGCATTTTTACCGGCGAGGACTGTGTGCCTCTCCCTGGGTGAGTGTGTGAGGTGTTCGTCTCTCTACACTACGCTCGTCCGCTAGAGGAAACACAGGGTTATGTGGAATTGATTATCAGCTTTCATATAGATTTTTCTATAATATATTTATATAGTTATTTTTCTTTCTCTCACGCACCCACCACGCTTGCTTGCTTGCTTTCACATTCTCTCGTCTCACTACTTTTATTCAATGTACACAACGTAATAAGCATGGGGTGGAGTGGGGCGCGACAGAGCTGAAATGACAATCACTGAGAAAGAAAATAATTAAAACAAAGCCAAAAAGAACTGCAGTCTTTTTTTGTCATCCATTGGCAGTCGGACCGACTCGGCAGTCAGCCACGTACAATGGTGGTTTGAGGTGGGGGGGGGGGGGGGGGCCGTGTCATCAAAGGGGCGGTGCGGGGGGCTCTTTCTTCGTTGGCGCCGTTTTAGACGTTGTTTTCGTCGTCTTGGTAGCCGGGGTCATCTCCTTGAGGTTGAGGTTCTCCAGCGCCACGTCCAAGGTCATGACCTCTACACAGCCCATGGCCTCGAAGTCAGCGAAATTCCGCAACGAGCCGTGACAGTCGTCCTCGTCGGAGGAGGAGGCTGAGGCGTCGTCGTCGGGCAGCAGCGTGGACAGCAGCAGCTCCGTCACAAACAGGCTGCGGTCGGCCCACTGCGCCTCGCACGCCTGCCGCTCCGCCTCAGAGAGCCGCGGTTCGCTCAGCCTGAGGGAGAGACGACAGAGAGGAGACAAAGGTCAGAGGAACTGTGGATTTCAAGAGATGGATGTAAAAGCAAATCACCGTAGAAAATCAAATGAAGTCTAAAAGATCCTCTCCAGACGTGTTTTAAGGCATAAAGATTCTTCAAAAAGTAAAATCAATCACGATTAGGTAAATAGTTTTCCTTTGAAAGTTTAGCATTGGGTCACAGAAACATGCTTGTAGATAAACTACAATACACTCATTTAGGTTAAAACACTGAATGTTAACAGACTACCTTTCAAAAATATAGATTAGAGAGCCTGAAGGTCAAACATCCAGTGGCCATTGGAGTAAAGCAGGGGTGTCAAACTCAAGGCCCGCGTACCAAATCCGGCCTGCGATTTCATTTGATGTGGCACGCAAGGAACTTGCAAAGAATATAATACGTTTATTATACAGTTACATGCCGCTTTACAGAAGCACGTTGTCCATAAACTACATGTCCCACAATGCTTCTCATTTTGTGACGTGCACTGAAGAGACTTTCAATTATTTGGAATTATTTGCCCTAGACTTCTGCTTTCAGACGTAGTTAATTATGGAGTTATTACCCTATCCGATAATAATACAATGCAGTGGCAATAATGTAATATAATACATTATTTCATATATATTAATATATGTATATTTATATAGTCTTAAAGTTACAACCGGCCCTTTGAGTGCAACCACAATGCTAATGTGGCCCGGGATGAAATTGAGTTTGACCCCCATGGAGTGAAGACATTGAACAGTGCAGGAATGAGAGCCCACCTGCTGAGTAGGAACTGGGAGCTATGTGCAGGGTGCTGTGTGTTGGACTCCGGGGGTCCCGGGTTGGGGCTGGGGTTGGAGTTGTGGTTGGCGCTGGGGTTGGGGTTAGCTGCGGCTGAGTTGCTGTTGAGGATAGCGTTGGCGCGGCCCCCTCCCCGGGTGGCGTTCCGGGCCGTCTCCAGCTGCTGCCTCGCGGCCTGGGCCTGCTGCCGCTCCAGCTGCAGCTGCATCTGGAGCTGCTGGAGCTGAGAGGCCGAGGGGCCCGAGCTGAGCTGCCCCCCCGCCGAGCGCCGCACCCCCGACAACTGGGACAGAAGCTCTGGAGGAACAAGATGGAGAGGATAAGGGCTTGGTGTCAAAAATAAAGATTAGAACGACAAGCAAACACTTGTTGGTCCATTAAGCGGCACCAATCACTCTGGTTAGTATCAGACAGCAGGATCTCATGAATACTCCTGCAATGATGAGTCAATAACAACTGAAAAGTACCTCACCATCTATTGTGATAATCTCTAACTCTTAGGCTGGTGCCCCACGGGAACGCATACGGCAAAACGCATAGGATTAACGCAATCGCAAAAAAGCTTCCGTCCACACGCAATATACACCGGATAGTGTCTGTTCACACGAGACAGCTCCGCTTAGCTCCAACCGCTGGAAAAAGCTGCAGTACATATGCCGAGCCTGTACGTGGCGCTGTAACTTCCTCCACAAAAGCAGCGAAGAAGCATGGTCGTCATGGTTGGCCTTCTGTTTATTCCAAGCCCCCAGGAAGTGCGCCGGACTCTGATGAAAATATTCGTGCTGGCCAAACGGCGGTACTACACTTCCTTTTGGTTGCCAGGCCCGGAAACACTTTTTCCCATTGACTTACATGGGGAAAGAGTGGTCTGTAAATCGTTGGATAATTTTTTTTAAACTAAATAAACTACCCAGTATGAACACTTGTATAGCCCTTATTAAAAACATTCGTTCCTCAAGTTGTAAAATGTGCTAATAACGTTATTCTGAGAGTTATTTCCCTCTGCATTAT